CCCCCAAGCACTGCCCAGCTCCCACCCCCTGCAATGAGTGCCCCCCACTCACGCTCCAGCTCCCTGCCTTGAACCCCTGGCACTCGATCCCACACATTTCCACCAGGTGCTGTCCTATCACACACACCCCCAACCACTGCCCTGACCACTGCAATATGACAGAACCGGTCAGTTCCCATCACCCCGATTGGCCAGTGCTATAAATTGGGTCAGACCAGACAGGATGGTTAAAATCTTTACAACCACGACAGTGCAACGTGGCCACCCCTTCTCCATACAGAAGCCATGAGACACTAATCTGCCCCCCTCCCCCGCTAACGAGGCAGTGATGTCACAAAAGGACAGGCAGATGGTCTTCAGGAATTGTATTGGTAACACAAAGGCTCAAAACAAGCTGCCCAGACTCAGGGCTGCTTCCCCTGCAGCAGTTTGCTAAAAATTCACATGCAACTTTTACAGACAACATCAAGTGCTCCTCCGGAAGGGTTTGGAAGAAGCACCATCATGAGTAAAACTTCCATGGACAATAGCATTGTACATACAGGGCAAAGAGGTCACAGAAAGAGCAGGCAGGCCAGGTGAGAGACCTGAAGGCCAGCAGACTGAGGCAACAGGAGGCAGAGATAACAAGCCTGAGGAGGATGACAGAGCCGAGAGAGAAAAGTTTCTGCAGAACTTTGGCTTGGTTGAGAGCGTTCTAGGGGTCTTGCTGGAGGAGTTTTTCGATATCATCTTGGATCCTGATGGTTTCAAAGTGCCGGCTGTAGCGCTTGTAGGGCACGCCGTCCCGCCCAATGAGGAACTTCTCGAAGTTCCAGGAGATGTCATTCCGGCACACAGGAGACCAGATGATGTACTGTGGATTGGTCATCAGCGCCATTGGGTCATCGTGTGGGAAAGGCAGGGCCTCTTTCAGGAAAGTGAAGAGCGGGTGAGCATTTGCCCCATTCACATCACACTTCTCGAACACGGTGAAGTTAGGTTCATACCCTTTGCCGGGGCGGACGTGCTTCAAGGAAAGCAGGATCTCCTCATTGGTGGCATTCTCCTAGGAAGGGAAACGTGAAGCATGATCTAGTGCCAGTGTAACCCACATGCCTGCTGGGTGTGGGGCCCTGTCCCATGGAGTGGCACGGAGCCTGCTTACAGAGAGGAAGAATGTTGCATCCTCTGCAGCCTTAGCCAAGAGCCAGCTGGCTTTTAGCTCAAGCATACACTAAGCTCCAGAGGCCCCAGATTTGGTTCTGCCTGTCGTCGTGACACCAGGATAAACACCAACAACGGGAATAATGGAGACTGCTCCCCCGTCATTCTGGCACCCAAACACGCGTGTCTCTGGCACACACACGGGAACCCTCAGCGTCTGCCTGCCTTCCAACGGTCAGTTCTCTTCCCAGCAGGAGCCAGTTGCAAAGGGCATGAGCTGTGGGGGGAGGAGAGGCCCTGGCAATGGGAGATGGTAAAAGAGTCCCCTCTTTCCAGAGACTGATGCTCATGCTAATCTCTCATGCGAATGCATCTTCCAGAGCCAGGCGGCCCTCGCAGCAGTGCAGTCCTCACCAGTCACCGAGCTAAAGGGCAACACGTCCCTTCAGAAGACGGGCAGCCTGGTGTGAGGCAGTGGGGACTGAATTCACTGGTATGTTGCATGTGATTGCTACTGTCCTGCAGTAAACCATGCATGTGCCTCAGTTTCCCTGGGCACTGCATCGCTGTCTAAATGGAATTCCGGGCGTGAGTTGCTGAGGGAGGCTGTCCCAGGTACAAAAGGGCCCAAGCTCAAGGTAACTTGAGCCGGGGAAGGGTGTGTGGCCAGGTGCCACCTTTTGCCTGGGAAGCTGGATAAAGGGGGAGGCGGGTGCGTGAGGGAGGGGGACAAGGTCCTGACTTGCTCCCCGCCCCGCCCCGCAAGCTGCGCTGCACTGGCTGCTCCTGGCCCCTGCGAGGCAAGAACCCTTCTGTTCTCCCTGCCGGCCGACAGTCGCGTCAGGGCCCGGGGACCCCACCCCGGGGTGACACCTGGCCAGGGCTCCTGGC